CTAATAAAGACGTATTTACGCTTTTGCAGCGGTTAAAACAGAAGAAATTACGTTTAGAAACACCTTTTGTCCTGATAAGCGTCTGTGCTTTTTAGCGGGGAAATCCCATCCTACGTTGCTGCGAGGTTGACTGCGAGATACTAGGTACCCTGTTTGCTACGATTTGCCACTATTCGCCACTATTCGCACTATTCGAGACTATTCGCACTATTCGCTATTCGGGACTATTCGCTGTTCGCTATTCGCGATCGACTATTCGCTATTCGCTATTCGGGTTTTCCACTAAAAACTAACTAAAATCACTAAAAACGCAACCTCGAGTATCTGTCCGGACATCTCAGTTCTATTTGTCTACAGAAGTTTCGGTTGAATTACATTCGAGGACATTTGAAGAACCTCGGGTGACGGTCGGCCGCGTCCCCTGTCTATGCACTAACTTCGGAGATCCTCATGGTAATTTCCCCTGGTATTACAACTTTGGACCCGTGTTACACTTTTCTGCACCCGTTTTACAGGAAAGCCAATCGAAATTTCTGTATTTTTTTGGTTGATTGACTATTATTATAATTGGAAATAGAATATGAGTGGCTATCTTTTAAAAGTTACCAGAATAACAATGATCAGTCTATGTGGGATCACCGTTTTGTGCATTTATTTTTGTTTTCTCTAGTCTCAGAAACGTTGTTTAAGCCCAATGGTCCTGATAAAGCGTTGTCTGGTCACGTGATTTCCTCTGTGACAGTTACTGATGTCAAAGAGTGTATGAAGTTGTGCTTAGTAACCGTGAAGTGCAAGTCGTTTAATTTCAGCGACCAGAAAAAGACATGCGAGATGAGCGGTTCCAAAGCTGCAAAGTCAAGTCTTCAAGATCGGGAGGGCTTCTACTATTACGAATCTTCTTCTTATCAAGTTCTTAAAGAGATGTGAAATAAGCGTTCTCTTGTTTCAATCCTTTACTGTTTCGAGAAAAGCTAAATGTATTTACAGTATATATAGATCGAAAAACCTGATATAACGATCGATACTCTTCACTCTAGTTTAGGAAAATGCATGGAACAGAACTACAATTGGCCAATCTCTTCACATGCACTTCGTTATATCGGTTTCACACCATAGTTTAATGTGTATTATCAAGCATTTGATCAATTCCTTTCGATTCTATAAGATAGTGGCGAATACAATCCCAATTTATTTTCACGGGCTCAGTAGCAAGTTTGAGTTTGAGTAACCAACACAGTTCATTTTTAACAATTAGAAGCACTTTCCGCTGTCCTGTCATCAAAAGATATCAAAAGTCACTGACCCCAGATACTAAGATATCACTGGTAACTTGAATAACATCTCTGCAAATTCAGTTGCAATGCACAGACTAAACCTCGAAACGTAATTTTTGATTGGCCGTGCATGGGTTCTGTATAGATCATCAAGTACATGACCTTTAAGTGTAGACTATAATTCCGAACTGTGAACCTATGGTTTCATTTTGAGAAGCTTAAATTGTCTTGATAAATCTGAACCAACTAAAGCTTTTTGGTTACGTTAGATTTGCAGTCAAAACGCCTGAAGCGTTCCGCCTAAAAATGATTAATTCGTTCATTAATCCAGAGCCGCGATATTCGATATTCTAATGGCCGCTACGGTTGGTGATTACATTCAGTTGACTTTTCGAAATTTGAAGCCAAGAATCGAAGCGGCTCTGGATTAATGAACGCATTATTCATTTTATAGGCGGAACGCTTCAGGCGTTTTGACTGTAAAAGAAAAGCGAACTGTTAATCTAGCAGCATGAGAGTTGCTGAGTGCATAGTTGAGAGTTGAGTTTAACGGTGCCTGAATTATTATTATTATTATTATTATTATTATTATTATTATTATTATTATTATTACTGTTGTTGTTATTTTATTTTATTTTATTTTTTTCTTGCACATTGTAGCCCATTTTAGTGCTAAATAAGAATATCACGCAATTCAACATACCAATTGTTGATTGTTTATTTTGAAAGCTTCATTGCCTTTCACTGGTAATATGAATTACAATATATAGCAACAAACTAGAAAAGACTAATTCCTACTTGCCCTAGCTTATATAAGTCAGCAATAAAATGGCGCCCTTCCTCGAACTAAACCTGCCACAGAAAACTCACGCAACTGTCAAATCGTAACATCAACATCTCCCGGGAATATCAGCACATCTGACCATCTTGTCAGGGTTAGAACATTTGGTATCCGACACATAACAACAACAATAACAACAACAACCGAGGCACTTTCTAAGGGACTTCGGATGAGCATTATTAGTATTTGAGGTATTGGTGCATCATTCGTTAACGCTCAAAGTTTAACATTGAATTTTTAACAGTATTTTACGAAACATTGATCTTCGAATACTTGTGAAATGTTCGTGGCTGAATTAGTTATTTTGTAAGAAGCTTTTCAAGAAATGGGGAATTAATTAAACCGGGTAGCTGTTAATGCTTCGATTTAATCAATACGTTGCCTTTGTTCTCTCCAACACAATTTGTGTTTCCGTAACGTCTTTAAAGGGACTCACTCAATCGTTTGAGAATTGAAAGGCGTTTACTGAAACATCAATTGTCTTTTCCCAAAGTGATTTTAAAGCTTGACACCCAAAAAATGCCCGTTAAGCTAAAATCTGTTCTATATCAGCGATAAATACATGTGAAGGTCTTTTCACTAAAATCCTCGCAGAAAAATTGTCCTGTATACATGTACGTGAATAAACACGTGATTTCTTCACAATTGAAGGTACACCAAGATAAGGAAAACATTCCGAATGAACCTACTTGAGCTATTTGAACAAAAATTACCGAACAAAATATGAAATTGATTTAATTGCCTGAACAATATTTATTGACCTCAACAACAGTACATGTTGTCTCTAACTAATATTCGATTCATCAGTGACAGGAGAATAAAAGCAACTGCAAAAGCCATATATGGGAATGACTTATGCGCGAAGCCTGGTGATGAGTCCACGAATCTAAAAATAGCTTTGATTGTAACAGGGAGCTGCTCCCAGGGGTTATCGGCTCTTCGTCTATGCTACTACAGGACTAATTGCTGTGTTTGATGAGTTATAACAACAGTGCTATTTTACAAAAGAGGTCATTTACAACACTGAGATCATTTGTAATATTAATGGCAAAAGTTACAAGTGGCTCAAAATTTAAATTTTTAATTTAAGATTTTGCCACTTCACTATATAGGAAGTGCAAAATTTTGTGCAAGTTTTCAATATGATGACCGCCCTTGGTTTTCATGAGGCATTCCTTGCATGTATATTATGTCAGTTCTAGAACTCTACATTTTGCATGAATAAAATAAATTAACTAGTGGGTTGACTTCAATTTAAGATTCAAAAGTAGAATTCTCAGTTATGTTTCTTCTTCGCTTCCACGAGGAAGTGAAGTAAACAGAAGCTATTCAGAAAAAAAAAAACTAGAATCCTTGTCAGTTGTGCATTAGATCTTAAAGTTTAATTTAGTGTTTATTATTACTACTATATTATTATTACTATAACTTTGTTTAAATAAAGGCTTAGAGTGCAAATAACACCACGTATTTTACCGAGACTGTAAGTTTGCCTGCATGGCGCTGATTACAGGGAAGGAATTCTTCCACATAGCCAAATCGCTCCCGAATGACCTTCATCGACCTTCTATGAACGGTTTACTGTTTTCTAAAAAACTTACATTTCATTTACATTCCCTCCCCTTCCTATGAATAACGTTTGTTGCTAGTCGCAGACTACAATACCAAAGCCTGTATGCCATATAAGGCGAACAACTCGACGTACTTTCTACCCAGCATTAAGTGTAAACGTCGTTAAAAACAACGAACTAACATTTTCCTGGTTACCATTTCCCAGCTATTTACTTTGAGGCTAAAAGCGTATGATTGTTGTAGTTGGTTTTTAATATTAGCTTATGTCTATAAAATTGAAAATAAAGAAACTTAAAATGTATTTTGTGCACAGCCCAGTGCGTTAATCTTATTTTAACGCCTTCAATATCAGTACCTTCCGCTACAATCACAGCTTACGTTATCGATGTTTCATCCTACCTTTATAAACACTGCTTATTTCCCGGAATTCCTAAGAAATCTTTTCATTCCTAGACTGAGAACTTTTTATACGTCAAATTAAAGTAGGATTCTCAAGTTAAAAAGTTTGGGCAAATAAATTGAACATTACAGATGCCTCAAGAGTAATATAGTTAACTGAACAAAGATTTATTGTACATAGAACAACATGACGTAGGGACAACGTCATAAAATGAAAGTTGTTATAAAAAAAAAAGTTTTATAAAGAGAAACGAGCACTTTTCTTCTAACTGAGAGTTTCCAGCTCTATCTGCGTTGTTAATCCCTCGCGTACCTGTATCGTCTTCATTTCGTCGTCATCTGGACGCAGGAGAAAGCAGAGTCGCTGAAACAAGGAACTCCCAGGGGTTTTTACAATCTTGTATATGGCAACCCCTGGGATCCACAGCATGGACGCTAAGGCCAAAACCCAGCCACAGAACTCTGCCCAACCAGGGTACTGATAGGAACCATAGGAGACCCCGCTCCACTGTATAACGCTGAATAAGAAAACCCCTGGGGAAAGAGTACAGAAATGGAATGAGAACGCACGGCGTTTGGTCATTTAAAGGATAAAAGTTTAAGGGCGATAGTCGTAATTTTAAAACCATTTCACTTTTTTGGTTGCTTTTAAGAAGGGTAATTTTTCCTGGCGTTCGCGACCGGCAGTCAGTTTCACTAACCAAGTCCGCCTTGGACTAGGCGGGAACTCTCGTCCATAAGGCCACCGCAGTTCCTAAATATAGTTCCTTTGGAAAGCAAAGAAAGGCCATGGCTTTATCCAACTGCTATAAGTGAGCTATTCTACAAACGAGTCCAGTGTCTCATAAGAAGGAATTTTGCGAAACCTCAGTAACCATAGAAAAAGGGAGCCATAGGTTTCCTCGTCGCAATAATGATGTTAAGTATTTCATATACAAATGAATCCGTCTTTGAGTGCTTGTAAGAACTAATTATTTTGTTGCCTTCAACCGCACCACCCCCGAACGGGGGATCTAATTACCTACCTAAAATAACAACGGGTGTGCAGAACTTCCAGGCAATGGGCCACCACGGCCATATCTTGTACCCAATCATGGTCTCGATGTCTTTGGCAAACCGATCAGCTCCATACCCCCATGCTACGGTGACGACTTCAAACAAGGCCAGGAACAGTAGAGACACTCCGCCAGATTGCCAATTGTACAAGTTCAGAACGTACATTCCACCCTGAAAAGTATAAGAAGGAGCCTCACACTTTAGGAAGACCCGACGTGAAATAACAAATTCTCCTTACTGGTATCAAGACATTTCTCTTGACAACAGTTGAGAGAATTGCATTGATGCCCCGTACTCCTGTCACTCAGCAGAATTAAAATATATGTTCTTTAGAGCTTCGCCATCATGATCCCTTTGCTTTTAACTAACACACGGTTGACACGGTATTAGCGGGGAATGTAATAGTCCCATCCGGTCAACTCATATGGAACGCATTGGAAAGTTGTTCAAAATGTCAAACACTCCACTCTAGAGGTTGAATACTAACCAGACGGGGGGGGGTGGGGGGGGGGCAGGTAGACCATAACTGCTCCGTAATCCAGTCAACGACTTATAGCTACCCCCTGGTCCCAGTTGTTCGAAAGCTGGATAACGCTATTCGCCGGATAAAATCACTATCCAGTGCATCCATAGCGTTATCCAGCTTTCCAACAACCCGAACCTGGAATCAAAATACGTATTCTGTGAGAAGAATCTGATAGTGCGTGTAGTACTGTATTTGATGATATAGAACTCCTATCCCTTCCCGAACAGCAGGCTGGTAATCGAGCCTATCCTATGAGCGTGTAGCAAACATACAGTACTGTTTTCCTAGCAAGTGGAGATTACATAGAGAATGTCGCCAAGCTTAAACGCTATCGACGAACTGACAACGTGATCGTTTTGTTAAAGCAGCTTAATTTCAGGCTTCATTTTCACACCTGCCTTTAGGAGTTAAGTAGATATCTGTGATGATCTTTCGCGCCTTAAATGAAGAGAATCAAATAAACACTAATCTAGCTGTATTAATATGAAAGTATATCCTTGGCGCATTACCGAGGAGTCGCCAGACTCCTAGTAAGACTCTTAGAAAGAAGATTGATTTTAAGAGCATTATCAATTCCTTTTTATTTTCTCTAACACTGATAGTCGACTAGAGGGTCCTGCGGACTACAAGAAATAAATTGTGGAGTTTATACTGTGGAGAACGTTTGTTTTTTCAAACCTTCATTAATTATTTCAGTTAAATTTCGTTTCCAGATTAGATATTTTTTTCTCTATTAACAAAACCTTAATCCTCTTTAATCGGACTAGAATAGCTCTGAATACTCAGCCATTTATTCCAAGTAACATCGCACAGCTTTTCATCAAGTAGTTTAACAGTGATAGACTTTCAGAAAAAAGCAACAACTCAGTTTTTTTTTTCTTTTGAGTATATAATAAATGATTCTGACCTATAGAACCATAATGTTCACATTGAAATAATTTCATTACGAAAAAGATTATAGCGTAGCAGCGCCAAACTGTCTTTAACTTGCTGGACATGAATAACTCTATTTAATGTAATTTTGATGATCTCCAGATTTCACAAAACTTGAATTTTCCAAAATTCTCTCATCACGGTTCATTCCGACGAGTTTTAAATTCAAACTTGATCGTTTTGCTAGAGCATCCCACAATGGGGACGAGACAAAAGTTGGGCGAAAAAGGGGGTAATGTGAGCAAAAAGCGTATCAAAATGACCAGGCCACAGCTACATGTAGATAACATAAAATGCAAATTAAAATATCCCACCTGCATGACCATAGGAATTCCCAGCAAGAAGCAGAGGAAGCACAGAAAGGCAATAAACAGCTCTTTGCGCTTTTTAAGCACACGTGGATACTCGTCTACAAGACCGGTCACCACTGCCTCAAACATAGCAAACTGGGTATCCAGGCCTAACGTCAGCAACATGAAGAAGAACATCACGGCCCAGAATGGTGAGATAGGCATCTGAGCAATCCCCTCGGGGTACACCACAAAGGCCAACCCAGGACCGGAAGTCGCCACATCTTTGACTTCTTTACCGGAAACGTGGGCCATGAAGCCCAACACGCTGAAGATTACAAAACCTGCAAACACGCTAGTGCTGCAGTTAATGACTGAAACTATCATGGCGTCCCTGTACACAATAAGCAAATAAAATTCATTAATGATCCGCAATCACAGCTTAGCATTTGATGTTAAACGTCAGTTGCTCACAAGGTCTTTTCCCAAACATAACGGTCTAGTTGTCCAGGAAAAAAAAGTTTTTTTTACTGAACGAAAGCAAGAATTTATGAAGGGGCCCTACGTTTCCTATTTTTAGTTATGTGTGCGACATATCATCTCTCAACGAAATTCAATCCCAGATTGCGAACCAATAGCGATGGAAGTAAATTAATGTTTCACTCAACTGTAATTACTCAGCTGAAACCATTAACGGTTTTCCCTCTTCACATCTGGACTATGCTTTTACCTTAGAGAAGTCACACTTTAAGTTGGCATTATCCCCACCTTGTCATTTTAAACCGAGTGTTCTCCTCACCTTCCCAGTTAAAGATACTCTGGTACTTTTCTCTTTTCTCAATGATATCTAATTTATTTCAGACTTGCACTTTCAGTACCTAGATTATTTCTCACGTTCCCGCCTGAAATCATCAGTCCATTTCCCGGTTTATACCGGTCTTACCTGAAACAGTTGTTGTGAAACTGGTTGAAGCTTCCCATAGTAATGAGCGAGCCAAATCCTATCCCAAGAGAATAAAATATCTGCGTGGCGGCCGTAGCCCACACGCTGGCATCGCCCAGCTTCTTGAAGTCAGGCTTCAGATAGAACTCGATACCCTTCGAAGCACCAGGTAAGGTCACCCCCCGGATAAGCAAAATAACGAGCACCACATAGGGGAAGGTAGCAGTGAAATATACAACCTTCCCAGAAGACTTAATCCCTTTCCACAGACAAAAGTACACCAGGATCCAGGCCACAATCAGAGCAACTAACAGTTCCACCCGCATGGAACCAAGGTCTTCCATGTTGTCTGGGATTTGGAGAACATAATTTTCCCAGAACTCTTTGCTGGGGGAGTTGCTACCTACTGGCGCCAAGGACGCGACGCTGCTTGGAGTCGCTGTACCGTTAATGGTATCGTTAAGGGTTGTGCTGTTAGTGACACCGTTACTCGATTTCTTGGAGAGTGTACAGTTGGGTGTGTTCCACCAGTTGTCGCAATTCGCCCACGGGACGATGCTTGCAAATGATTTAAACATGTAGTACAGACACCACGCGATGATGACATTGTAATACACACAGCAGAGAAAAGAAACGACCAGCATTGAAAAACCCACACCTGAAAATACAACAGCTTTGAACTTAAAGGCTGACAAAGAATGAGCCGTTTACTCACTTTCAATTAATTTAAACACATTTTAATAAAAGATTTGGTGGTAAATTAAAGTAGAACACTAGGCAGAACGTACACGTACACATACTGAAGAAGGGCCAAGCCCGAAACGTGTAGTAAACGCTTCTATTGGGCACTTTCAAGAGTTCTTTCGGTTTATATCTAGAAAGACCATCTGCCCACGTTACTTGGTTAGATAATTTTACTTACTACTGCCGCGTGCAAATACTAATGCACCACATAATACAAAGATTCGTGACTTCGCTTTTCTAAGTCTAACGCTGTTGACTACATCAACCTCACAGAAAACAGTTGCATGCCATAATCCCCATTGTCATGTACATACATGGCGTCAAGTTTGCAAAATACGAAAAGTATTAAAGAGATATTGGACAAGAAATAGCGGCACAGTTCCGTGCAAGTTACTTTGATAAATTTAACATTAATCAAAACGTTATGCTCCTTGTAGACAAAATCTTCCAGGTTAAACATTGTCACATTTACAACCTGTAGTTATAAGGATACGTCACTAAATTGGGCGTCTTTGTTTGTTTCAACAACGGCGGCAAAAATTGAGGAACAGAGAAAAAACGGTTGGAATTCAAATTCACGAAAGAAAAGAAAACTGATCATTTTCAACAATAGAATTTCCCTCATCCAATTATGAACTAAATAGATAATTGACAACCTTAAATTCAGGGGAACCTTGGTCGTTTCTCCTGTGAAAGTTCATGGGTTGTGGCTTTTTTCACCGTCAAAGTGCAATTTGGTTCAATTTTCTCGGGTTGGCGAAAAACCGCACCGTCTAGCGTGAAAGGAAAAGGAACCAGCGAAAAAACCGCAAATTTAAACTGTGTCAGTCTCGACTACGTTTTTGATAATTTTGTTACTGACGAAAATGAAAACAGCCTTGAAACAGCGCTTGAATTTCTTCATTTGCAAAAGGAACTATTATCAATTAAGCTTAAGGGGACTGCAATGGCAGAGCTCGTCGAAAAAAAAAAAAGATATTTTAAGAAGACAAGAGAAAGGAGTTGAGACGTACACTGATTTTAGCTCACATCCAACCAAAGAAACGAGAAAATCTCGCCTTAACGAGGACGACTGGAATTTACATAAGGACTTTCAATAAGGAGTTTCAATTAATTTAACAACAACTTACGCGAGATCATGTAAAAAATGTATCGAGTAGAATTGGTGTGTTTATGCCACACAAACACTAGCTGCCCAAATATATTAAACATTCTCATACAAAAACATCGACATTTTCACAGTTTCCCGCAGGGAAACTGAAGAATGTTTCGCCGCTTGATATTTTGTTTGGAATCGGAGGATTTTGTCTAGACTTAATAATTTTGAGTTGTGGTATTCGCGAAGATTTAAATATACATTTACGTTCTTTAAGAGGCTTTCCTAGTAATTGGTGGACATTTTCTGGCGCGAGATAATTGCTTCCACGTATAAAAAATAATTTCCATTTCTGACCAGATGTCCTAATAAGGGATTTCTCATAATGAGATAATCATCAGTTTAATATTTTGCCTTGCTGAAACACGCTTCACTCTGTCAAGTGCTCATTGAAGCTTCGTTTTCGAATTTAGCTTGATTGAATTGAGTAAAGAACATACGAGTCGACCTAATGTTGAATTTATACCAGTCTGTCAGCTAAGTATATACAAGTTTTAAAATGGGTATTGTTGATTTACAAGGAAACTTTATCACAAGTCCTAGAAGATCACAATAAATAGAAGTATTCTAAACAACAGCGGTTTTTCTTGTGGAAATCGCACAAAAATATGTGCTTCGTAGAATGGCGTCATTATAAAAGCGCTTGATTGACCCGTGCTGCGCTACAAATAAAATTTCTACTCGTCTGAGAGGGAAAATAACTAACAATGTGTAAATTATTATGAATATTGCATGTTGTGCGCGGACAAAACTGTAACAGTATTCCACTTCATAAATTAGTTATATACTTCTTACTACATTTTCAACAAAGAATGCTTCGGGTCTGTTCTTGTGTGAATAAACGTCTTTTTTTTTTCTTTTTTTTTTTCGAATGACTCGTTGTACTTAAGGGAACCTTTTTCCCTCCCGTAAATCAGGCGCGTCTTAACAACTTTATGAAAAATAAACTCATTCCAAGATTTTGCGGTATAAATGAAAAATTATTAAAACATTTCCATTCATCTCTAAGATCAAATCAATGAAACCCTTACAACACGAAATGTTTAAGAAAAAAAATTGTCTAAAACTTCGAAAAAACTTGGCTAAAATATTATTGCAAAAACAGGTAAAAATCGAACATGCTGATACATGTTCTTTTCTTCAACGAGAAAAATACCCCGAACACATCATAGTATTTACATTTCTTATAGTAAGTCAGCAAGCGAAAGCAAACCTAACGAATAAAATTCATCGTTCTACTCAGAAGAATCACGTACGCTTACCTTTCGCCAAAGGACATATCGCAGCCCAAGAAGTAACTGGTCCTAAACTCACGTACTGCCCCAGAGCAAGTTCCATGAAGAACAAAGGCATGCCGCATAAGAACAGCATACACACGTACGGAATTAGGAACGCGCCGCCGCCGTTCTCAAAACACAAGTAAGGGAAACGCCAAACGTTGCCTAACCCCACCGCGTAGCCGATACATGCCAAGAAAAACTCCACTTTCTTTCCCCATTTTTCACGTTCTTCTAAATTGATTTCCACCTCTACTTTGTAGTCGTCGTTTTCTTCAGGCAGGAGATCACTGTCTGCGGCACCGTTGAGGGCCACCTTCTTCTCGTCGAGCTCCATGTCTTCTTTCTAAGAACACAAGTACATGAATTGTACGTTTAATCGATTCGTCGACGCCAGGAATGTGTATAAATTAACAAGGGTTAAAGTGAAGGCACAACACCCAGCCGCGAACTAACAAGCGCTCTCTTCGTTACGCCATGAATATTTACCCTTCCCTTTAGTCGCGTTAGATTGGTCAAAGGGACAGGCGCGCAATCAAAGCCCTCATATTTGGTTCCTTATAAAGAAACATTTAAGCACCCCACTCCCATTGGTCGGAAAGCGCGCCATTATCTTCACCCTTAATGTTAGTTTATTTTGATAAAGTAGGTTGTAAATTAAGATTATTAACGGTTGATGCCAGGTGTTTCACGAAACGCACTCGGGAAATAAACTCCTTATCTTCGATACGAAATTGTTTTGAAATCTTTCGACCAGTAAAATACTTTCAAGCGCAGTGACGCAAAAGATATCTGGTAGACACTGATTTTGGCCGTGATTTCAGAAAAGCCCACAAAAAATGTTTCCTTTCAACCTGGTGGGTAGTTTTTTTTAGTGGTTTTAATTGTTTCGCAAAATTTTTTTGGATTAATGAGCCCACAATATGAAAAATGTCCGCATGACGCCCTCAGATATATTTTCTTTTCTAATCCCACTGTATAAACGATAACTTTTTCACCGTTGCAATAAAACGGTTTCCGAAATTGAAAAGTTCATGCAATTTGTACTCTAATTGACAGTTATCTCTAAAGGAATTCTTTGTTGAATTACAATAAAATTGCGTTAAAATTAGAAGATAATGATCTCGCAATTTCAAATAACAAACTGATTTTACACCTATTCCAAGGACTTCTTTATACCTGCGTTAGCTACCCTTGAAAAAACCTTGTACATCCTATTTGGTTCTATAGAAACATTCACTACCGCATAAGTAACAAGATCTATTTTCACAAGTTGGTTTGCAGTTCATCAGTATATCGTAAAGTTGACCAGCAAGTTTTCAAACGTTCTCAGCACGCCATTACAAAAACTATTATACTATTTACAGTTTGAAAATGCCGGAACAAAAGGGAGATGTCTAGAGCGCTCAAGAACAAAGATATTCTTCAATCCTACCCTTAAAACTCGCTTTAACATCTCTGGATGTGGCGTTCGTCTCTAACATCTGATAATAACAACATTGCGAATGTCCTATCCTCAACAAAGTCTACTATTCTACACCATTCTACACATTCTAGAGTATTCAATCATTTGCATTATCACCTACGGTAAACTTCTTGAAGGTTGAAGTCTAAATTCAATAACTTAGAAGAATATTTCAAGTGTCTGTGTTGTAACATGACTTGAATTCCAGACTAAAGCGACATCAAAAAACCATATCAACAGCGTTGAGACTATTTAGAAACTGCTCCAGAAAAACATCAACAACAAAAAAACTATGCAATATTTATCAAACTTTATCACTATACATCATTTTCTTAAAAAATATGATCTGTCGCCACTCTTGTATCGAAAGCTTTAAAAGTGTCACAAACTTGTACAGGCGCCGCAATAAGACTTGCCTGTCAATTGTCCTAGTTTCACTTACAAGCCGACACCCTGGATGCAGTTTGTCAGAAGTACAAGCTGTATCTGGCTGTAACTTCCGTACACCAGACTAATATTCTGTAAATTGAATCTAAATACATTACTCGCGAATTTGGTTTCTCTTCCATTAACAAATTAATGGAAGGAAGTTAAAACCCTTTAAGAATTCCTATCTTTAGTGCCCACGTTGGAGATTGTGAAATCCATTTTTTTCCCCCACTGTAGGTAACTAACTTAAGAGCCACTGTCTATAAATATGAAGGATCCCACGACAGAACCGAAAATCCGAATTTTCTTTTATTGCGTCAAACCATTTTGGTGAACTATTTTCAGACATATTCTTTAAAACCTCCAGCGAGTTAACGTTTTTGTGAAATCTAGGAAAGTTGGAAAAACCGCTCGGTCAACCAAGATGGCAGATGGAATTTAGGCAAAATTGAGCATTTTCAACAGGCTAGAACAGAACTTGCCTTGATTTCATATTCACACATTTTGTAATTTACACTTTCAATTAATCAATTCTCTGAGCAAAACATCAACTTGAAGTAAATGCGTTTTGTCTACTTTTTTGTTTTTTACATGCCAAATTTCAGCTGATTTGATAGGGTCATAACACTTCTAGTATAGGAATATCTCGACAAATAAGAAGTTCTAAAAAATAGAACATTGCTATGGGAATACCATATCTAAATGGTTAGTTTGGTCCGTGAAAATTTAGCTTGTTAGACGAAAAACTATGAAGGGCATTTTAGGCAATTGCGCCATTTTTAGACGACCGAGCGAAAACTTCGATTTCATCAGTGATCTTTATAAACATAATTCGACATGAGTCATAACACAAAGTATTCTACGGCTAACTCCGCGAGCGGGCAAGATGAATCAAATCCTGCGCTGAGATTGGCCGCCCGAGCGGGCAAGATGGAGCTATCTTGCCCGCTCCGGACTAGCCGCCGTGTCCCGCAAGAAAAATTGCCCCGAAAACCATATAATAAATCCTTTATTGACCAAGCTTGTTCGGTCAAGATGGCTGGATATTGGCCTCGTTCTTTTTTTTGCGAGTTTATAGACCTCGACTCCGTCTCGGTCCATAAACACGCGAAAAAAGAACTTGGCCAATATCCAGCCATCTTGACATCACACTCAATAACCCATACTTATTATATGTCTAGCTTCGTGGGCGGGCAAGATAAACCAAATCCTGCGCTGTGATTGGCTACCTGAACAGGCAAGATAGCGCTATCTTGCCCGCTCGGGATTACCTGCTGCGTCCCGCAAGTAAATAGTGTTCTTTTTCCGTATGATAAATTCTTTTCCGTGTTTATGGACCTCGACTCCGTCTCGGTCCAAAAAGACGCAAAAAAAAGAACTTGGCCAATACCCATGCAGCCATCTTGATCGAACAAGCTTGGTCAATAACCATGCATATTTATTTTTTTCTCGGTTCGTAACCGGGCGGAATGAATTCAATTGAGTGTTTTGAAGTTGAGAGAGTTTGTTTGGTTGTTTGTAGCTCGGCGCTGTAATATGGCGCGGAATCCTTGCTTTCTTTCGCCGTACAATTTTATATAAAAAATGAATCAATTCCAGTCGAGTTTACCTCTCTGATCGTTGATGTATTTAAGAGAATTTATGTGGGATACACTTAGCCAACTTCCTCACTTTCTGCTATTCAATTTACAGTGGAAAGTGTGACTTCACGTGATTCGCAAAGACTGACAGCAATTGTTTTTGTAGTACAACTTCAAATGTGCAGTACCTGAAAATATCCATACTCCCCCATAGAAGGGATTGGAATTTCCTGGGGGGTGGGGGGTTCTTTAAGACCGAAAAATTTAAAGAAATGTATCAAGTTTAATTGGAATTTCCAGAGGGGTGGGGGGGGGGGGGGNTGACCAAGCTTGTTCGGTCAAGATGGCTGGATATTGGCCTCGTTCTTTTTTTTGCGAGTTTATGGACCTCGACTCCGTCTCGGTCCATAAACAAGCAAAAAAAGAACTTGGCCAAAATCCAGCAATCTTGCCCCCACACTTGGTCAATAACCCATCCATATATAACTCTAAGGAAGTCTCAGAACAAAATTTGACTGTCTTTTTTTTTTTTAAATCAAAAAACAAAAACCAAGACTGAACAAACAATGCGATCCAATTCGCGCTAAATTTTTCTTTTAGATGAGTTTTTTTAAGCTTATTAGTTTTGTTTTATTGTCTCGATCATTTTTTTAGCTCCTCTTTTTAACTTCGTAAGTATTTTATAACTTATCTTACATATTTTATTGCATTCTACCGTTCGCGACATTTTTAAAGTATCTTTACTGCTTTAAACATATATCTATGCTAATCTTATATATCTATTTTTTTCACACACTTGAAAATGACCTCGGAGAGGTCGAAACGTCGTGATTTTTTATCGTTAGCTTTTATTACAAAATCGATCCCAAAGAAATTAGTCAATTGCAGATGGATGGTAAAAATGCGAGTATAGCACATTTTCAATAAGCAAATTTGTCACGCCTTGTTAACATTTGTACGACAATGGGATCACAAACTGTATTTGAAAATAAGATTAAGCCTTTTATTCAACAAGATTTCAAGGTAAAGTGGAATGAATTGCTATTGTAAAAGTCCATTTTCTGTCAGTTTTCGATTATATTTGCAACTTTAAATTNAAAAAAAATAAAGAAAACCAGAAACCAAAACGACAATATTTCACCGCGTGAAAGAGCCTACGTTTGTTTATTTAGGACACGCATGGGTTCTTCTTTATCAAATGAGCCTATACATCACAGTTCTACACTTTCACCAGCAAACAACAAACTATCCTGTTGTTATGTACATGACTTTATAAAAAAATCAGAACATAACCGCTGAAATTCATAAAATCAGCTAATGCTGTTCCGCATGTACAGTTGAACTTTTCGTCAGCGACCACCCAAAATGTCACGCCTAGGTGGTCGCTTACGAGAACTTAGACCATATTGGGTCAGGATTTTGTCTCATTAGCATATGGAAACATGCAGAGACTTTCCCCATGCGCCAGTGCCCATCTAAACCCATGTAATAACTTTTAGTAGCCACAAAAATATTTAAGCTATCTTAAGTAGATATTCAGAGTATCATGGTTCGCTTTAGCCTGCGTCGCAGACGCAACCTACCGCGGGTTACTAGCTATTTAGGGGTAAATTTCCGTCTGCAACGCAGGCTAGGTTCGCTTCTGATCTGATAAACTCCCTTTTAAGTCGAACGGAACAACACCAATTTCCGCTCTATACCATCTGTCAAGTGGTCGCCTTACAGGAGGTTAAAAACAAAAGAAGATTTGAGACTTTTAGCTCTAAATGTGGTCGCGGTCGCTTACGAGAGGTGGTCGCTTACAAGAGGTTCCAAATATAGTGATTTGACTTGGAAACTTTTGGTATTTTGGAAAACTGGTCGCTGAGGAGA